GTTGCAGAATTCAGCTGACTTCTTGATAATCTCAGCCATCATTTTATTAAAAGCAAGTTTCTTTCTCTCATTGGTATGAACATATGTTGGAAGTTGAGTTGAAGGATCTAGGGGTCTGGGCAGGCTACAAGTTTAACCTGAGTCAACAGTGTGATGCAACAGCAGCAGCAACAACAACAACCAAATGCTCTTCTAGGCTGCATCAGCAGGAGTATATTGTCCTGATCAAAGGAAGTAATAGCACTGCTCTCTTCTGCCTTGGTCATACCCGAAGTGCTGTGTCCAGTTCTGGGTGGATATTGACAAACTGGAACATGTGCAGAGGAGGGTGACCAGGATGATAAAGGATCTTATGAGGAATAGTTGAGGGAACTGAGAATGTTTAGTTTGGTAAAGAGGAGACTGAGAGGAGATATGAGATCCATCTTCAAATTTCTAAAAGGCTGTCATGTGGAAGATGGAGCAAGCTTGGAACAGACTCCCTCAGAAGGTGGTGGACTCTAATCAGAAAGGGGCTAGAATCAGACCAAAGATAAAAATAAGTTGGAAATATTTAATCTGAACAAAGAGATTTTGAAAATATGCAGACTCTGAAAAAACTGAAATGCGAAGAAAAAGGGAAGTGTGAATGGAATACAGCAATTTATAATGCAAATAATATTAGCTTGGCAAATTAACCGTTACCAATAAAGCATACATAATGTGAAGTCCTAAATTGCATCATCTTGAAACTTCCACCAGTTCAAGCTAGTTAAAAGTTCTCAGCCTTCAAAAAGTTTAACCCAAAGATTAAGGAGCAGCGAGAGAGGAGATTATAGCTACCAATCCAAGCAGAGATCCAAGGAGCTGGCTTCTGGAGAATCAGGTGTGAAGTTTAGAAAGAGGATTCCAGGACCCCCAGTGTATAGGATCCAGAATGGCCACAATTAGGAAACAAGTTAATCTAAAAATATAGGAGGAATGTTTACATTTGGAATAAAGGCATCTGAGCCTCACAAGGGAATTAACAGAAAGTAAAATGAAAATTAAAAGAGTGTTAGGGGGAAATAAAAACTTATAAAACCTGCATCTATTCAAAGCAGAAAGACTGGCTCAGAGGACCTGACCAAGAGCAGCTTCCAACATTGAAGGAGTGAGATGCTCCCAGCAAAGGAGAAGACAAAAAGGAAGCTGAGCTCAGAAAGCTTCAGAATAAACAGAAATCCATTAGAAAAACATGAAACTAAGCAGAAAGAAAGAAAAGTGTGCTCTAGCACTGAGTTCAGTCTCTTTCTGACCCCCATTGATACTTCAGTTTTCTGTTTCTCATTTGTCTTATTCTCTGTACCCACTTTTCCTCAGTAATATTCAGTCTTGTATTGTGAAATTCAGGTCCTGGGAGAAGCACCTGCAAGAAACAGATTTCCATTGTTTTAGGGGTTGATGTGATCCAAGCCTTATCGGACTACAGGGAGTCTCAACGAAGGTCAACCAGTGCTGCTAGCCACATTCAGTAACAAATCCTGTATCTTCTCCACTCTGGTGTATTATCTTAGCTCAGCTGAGGCCTTGTCAGCATTTCTGCTTCTCACACTTGAGAAAGAAAAATATTTCTGCCTTCAGGTCAGGCATTCTGGCTTGCTTCAGTCCTGAGCCAAAGCTGCTTCATCTATTGCACTCTGCAGGATCTGGAGTGATCACTTTCACCATACACACCAATTTGCCCCCAAACTCAGGTCAGTAGCAATCAGTGGCTTATCTAGCACCCATCAAGAAAATCCACATTTGATCACCCTATTAGCATTTTTTAAGTGCCACACTTGCCTTTTATGCAGGGTTCAATAAACAGTGAAACATTTCCGCCTTCTGAGATTCACATCCTTTATTGAATTATAATTATAATCCAACAGTGCCATCCACTGCCTCTCTAAATAATATTTCCTTAGATACTCCTTCATCAGACCTCCTGTGATAACTGAGCGCTAAGAATGGGACATGGTAGATCTCAGAAAGCAAAATATCCAGGCAGCAAGGCAACTGCGTGTGGGAGTGCTGACAGAGCTGTCCAGAGGGTTTTTTTTAGAGGAAGATGATGTAAGTTCAGAGAAGCCCCATACACCAGGCCACATTTGGTCCTCATGAAACTTATTTATGTATGTGCCATTTAATAGAATACAAATCTCTAAGTGGTTTACACAAAAACTCTAAAAATGCAACAACATTCAGTAAAAATTCCTTAAAAATAAGATACAATTGCATTGTGTTTTTATCTGCAAAATAAAACTGGACAGTGTACAAACCAAAACAAAATGAAGCATCAGAGTCCAGGAACGCTTGGGTAAACATATCACTTTTAAAGAGGCATTTAAGAGTCATTAGTTCCTCTGCCTCATGAGGCTGGCGGGAATTGTGGAGGGAGGGTGATGTCATCAAGAAGGCCTGCTTCTGCGTTGCCACTAAATAACAATGCCCTGGTCATGGAATGACCAGCAGGGGCTCCTGGGATGATCTTTAAAGATCAGCTTCATCTGTTCTGGGTGGAGGAGGCTGGCTGCTGGGTCATCTGAGTATCCTAAGTTGTTTAAGGCTTTAGATGTCAACAAAACTTTGACCTTGAGTTAACAGGCAGTCAATGCAGAGCTTTCCAGAGTGGTGCAATATGTGTGATGCTGGATGTCCTACTAAGCACGCAGGCGCAAGGGTAGCCTTGCCTACAGTACATTACAGTAGTCTAATACTGAGGCTATACCCTGTCCAGGAATAGGGGTAGTTGGTGCACCAACCCAAGTTGGTAATGGGCACTCTCAAGCCAATGAGGTCACCTGGGCCTCTAGTAAAAGCAGTGGCTCTAGAAGCACCCCCAAACAAGGCAGCACAATGGGTGCGTCTCAAAAGTCATGCTAAAATGAGACACCGATTCCTTCATCTTCTAGAAGGTAGGGCTGGAAAGGTCAGCTTTCCAGTTAGACATGTGACCCTCCCTCCCAGCCTCAAATGGGAAGATGCTCTCAAAGGCCTCCACATCAGTCCAGGGGCCTCTGGGACACCATGTCATTCCACTGTCAGATTTAGAAGTGGTTTCTTGTGTGCTGGTATTTTCCTGGCATGTCACAAAGTCAGAAAAATCTTGACTCATTCCAGTTTGGCTTTAGGCCTTGTTTGGGGACAGAATTGGATTTGGTCACCATGATGTGCAATACTATTGATTCTCCAGGATGTCTCAGCAGCTTTCAACACCATTGATCACCATATCCTCCTAGCCTGTCTATGTGAGTTGGGTGGGCAGCATGTCACCTTGATTTCACGTCTACTTTAGGAATCACTTCCACTTGTCCTGAAGCTTGAGGAACAATTGGACAGAAATTGACATATTATTTCCCCCCAGAAGCCTACCAGAGAATCAAGAAGGGGAAGATATGGCCCAATTCTTAGATACCTTAACTATAAATACCCTCCTGTCAATAGCAGGTGTGCAGAGGGAGAGTCCCTGGAGGCCAAAGCAGAATTGGTGAAGTCCCACATGATATCGTCATCTGCTTCAAGCATTATAGACTCAAAGATGCCATATGTAAACTCCATAACACCAGGGACTTAAAATATAAAGGATGCAGCATTGACATACAGTGGTACCTCGGGTTTAGTACTTAATTCGTTCCGGAGGTCCGTTCTTAACCTGAAACTGTTCTTAACCTGAGGTATCACTTTAGCTAATGGGGCCTCCTGCTTCCGCCGTGCGATTTCTGTTCTCATCCTGAAGCAAAGTTCTTAACCCAAGGTACTATTTCTGGGTTAGCAGAGTCTGTAACCTGAAGCGTATGTAACCCGAGGTACCACTCTATTTCAGTCCCAACGCTCTTGCCCAGTGACATGAGTTTTGCCCTTATACAGCTGCCTTGAAGGAGGCTGGTATTGTCTAGCACTGGGGCTTTCCTTTCAAACTTATTGTCCAGCACAAAGGGAGACAGTGGGTGACAAGTGACAACCAACAAGTTGAAAATACGCTAAAAGACCTTCAACTTTCAGCATCAGTGAACCTGGCTGACAGTGCTCCTCCCACCAACTCAGGAAAAGGAAATCCCCCTTGGAACACCAAAGAGAAATAAGAAAAGCAAAACTTCACACAATTGATCACAATGCGCTCTGTATTATTCACCTATCAAGAATGCAGTTGTCCACTCTCAAAATATTTAAGGTAATTTGTGTTTGTGCTTATGACCCCCATCATGGGAAGGGAGGCCTTGGAGAAAAGCTAATAGCCCCCACTTGCCCCCAAGTTTGCCTGGACTTTGGGCAGCAGATCTTCACTGTTCTCTTGATTCTGAAGAAGTGCGGTTCTCTGTTCCCAAGGCAGTTAAAGGTTCTCCGTTTGGCAAGATTAGTTCTGTTTTATGTTTTTATAGTAACCAATTACCGTACTTTTACGTCTATAATATGCCCCCATGCGGAAATGACTGGCAGAATCCGAGACCAGGGAGAAGAGTTGATGGAAGAAGACTGGGAAAAGTTTAAAGACTATTTACAGAAATATTGTAAGATTAATGAATGCTAGAATGATGTTGGATAGAAATTAAGTGGTCTTTAGCTGAAATGTCACAAGGGAATATGAAAAAATGGATTATTAATAGTTAAAAATTTAAAATTACAATACTTTATGATTAATGACTAGGATATACAAAGAGGGGAGGGATTTGCTGAACTAACAAATTGAACTGGAATACAAAAAAGGGAGGCGTGAGGAGGTCCGGGAAATAAGCAAATGAAGGATAAGTAAAGGAAAGAATGAATTGTTTTTAATCATTTTTATTTTGCATTTTTCTTTTTTCTTCTTTTTTATCTTGTAATACTCTGAAAATCGTAATAAATATCTTATATAAAATATATATATATATAATATGCCCCCATGTATAAGATGCCCCTTATTTTTGGGAACTCAAATTTAAGAAAATGAGGGGAGATGGCACAGAGTTGTTGAACTTTTTTTTTTGAAGGTGATTGCCCAGGGTTGTTGGGCTTTTTTTTTAGGGGGGAATGCCGAAAATCGCACATGTCGCAAAATCTGCCTCCCGTCTGTCCCATCACCGGCAGAAGCTGTGAATCGCCTGCCCAACTGCCAGAGCGTCAGCCAATCAATACCACCCATTGACACAGCAACAAATAACACGTACAGTAGCCGATGACAGCCGCAGCAGCAACCAATCAAACATCCACCCCATGCACTACCCATGTATAAGATGACCCCCCCCCACACTTTTTAGCGTGATTTTTAAAGATAATAACATAGTTTTATACACAGAAAAGTATGGTATGTTAGTCCAGTATCTAGCAGAAGGCCCAGGCTTACAAGCTGTTCAGGCTTTGTCACAGTTGCAAAACAATTTGCTGATCTCCCAGCACAGACAGCGCTCCTTAAAAACCCTCTCATTCATTGTTAAAGGCCTGGGCTCAGCAGTAGAAAGAGGTCAAACTATGGGGAGAGCACCCAGTCATACAGTAATTATGTTACAGGAAACTCATCAATGGAAATCCTCAAAGTCACCATTACTAAAGGGACGATGGCTCAGTGAGCAACTGTCTGAACTTGCCTCTTCCAAAAGTGGCCATCCTTTTCTGTAAACAATGTCCATTTCAGATAAGAGATTCTATAGCAGAACCAAATGGCAGATTTTTGTTAGAGGCTCAGTTGTGCTATGGATTTCACTCTGGCCTGCATATTTGTACCAAATTCTGGCCACAGTGACTCATGAGCAACTAATATCGCAGGGCACTTTGCAAATAGCTCAGTTGGCAGAGCGTGAGACTCTTAATCTCAGGGCTATGGGTTTGATCTCCACATTGGGCACTGCAGGGGGTTGGACTAGAAGATACTCGTGGTCCCTTCCAACTCTTGATTCTATGAAATAAATACATATTAGCAATTAGAATTTAGCACTGCTCACGGTGGCTTTAAATATCTTGGCATCAAGTTAACATCAGATCATAAGCAGCTTAGTCGCAGAAACTATAAGCACCTGCTCAAAGGTATTTCTGAAGAATTGCCGAAATGGAAACATTTAAATCTCAGTTGGATTAGCAGGATAGCTGTGATTAAAATGTCTATTCTTCCAAAGTTTTCATAATTTTTTTTCCAGGTTTTGCCCATTTCTATTTCCTTCTCTGTGTTTAAGAAGTGGCAACCGGCTAATTCTATTTGTTTCATGGGGGGGGGGGGCGAATCTAGAATAAATTACTTTTCCTTGAACCAGCAACCACTTTAAACAGTCATGGCTTCTCCCGAGGAATTCTGGGAGTTGTAGCTTGGTAAGGGTGCTGAGAGCTGTTAGGAGACCCCTATTCACCTCCCAGAGTTACAGATCCCAGTGGTTTTAACAGTTCAACCACCTTTCCAGGAAACTCTTAAGAGTTTGTTGCAGTAGGCAACATTTTTTAATTAAAAAATATTCTATTTATAACATGTTGCCTCTTCCAGCTGTACCTCCCACTGCGGTAAATTTCTCTAACCCTTGAATCATCCATATCATAGGCACCAGCTAACAACCTCTCTCTGGCAGCTTTCCAGCATTCCAGAATGCAGGCATATTGACTATTGTATATTCTGTCATAATGAATAAGAATTTTAGTTAGTGGTTCTATTCATGTCTCCAGCAAACAAAAAATGCAAACACCCGCCCATTCCAGAAACAAGGGGAAATCTGGGGAAATCAGAGTTTATGCTATTTGAAATTATGGCCGCAACTGGCAATATTTACCAGTTTTTGCTTAAGGTGAAACTAAAATGAGAAAATGTCTTGCACTGTGCAGCCTCTTATTTGACACTGGAGGAAAGTACCGTAGTTTGAAGAAAATTGAAAGTAGGTGATTGTGAGCAACTCCTGTATCTAAATATATACATTATGGAAGGGAGAAATCTATTGTTTTCCCTTTCCTCCCACGCCAGTTATTCTGAAGCATCTCTAATGAGCATCCCTGCCAATACATACCATGGTCATACCTCTTGTCATAGCTACTTGGGAGGGAAATATTTCTCTGCCATCTGCCTCTTCATCTGGCATGGGGAGAGGTGCACCACACCTCTATTGATGTAGAGTATGCGCAATGAGTTCCCCCACATAAGGAGAGACTGACCCACTCCCTGTCCCTCTTTGCACGAGGGAGAGCCATACGCATACCCTGGCATGTACATAGAGCACTTTCTCAGATTTGGCTCCTCCACCTGAGGCCTCCTATCCATGCTGTCGCCAGTCATATGGGCGGGAGTTTGTGCAAACTGTAATTGTTTCTGATATCCAGTAATAATATACTTGGGGCTTCTCTTTGCGTCTTATACAAAACATGACCTCTCCTTTGCTTGTGAGCTCCAGGTAGTTAAACAAAATGGCTACAATCATCATATCAAACCATTTATGAAAGCCAAGGAGGAAACCACTGGAAATGCAACAGCAGGGCTCCTTCAGTTTTTAAATTAACAAAATTAACTCTTATCAGTAAGTCAGCTAAGCAAGGGTGGTGGTGGAGCTGTTGCTTAGCAACCAGGCAGAGATGCATGATGTTTGCTGTGATAGTACATGCACTGATTGGCTGTGTAGGTCTCAGGAAACATTTGTTTTGTATACTTTGGTTGAAGGTCTTCCTGCTATGTACAAGGTCTGAAGTTAGCAAGGCAAAACCTCCCTGCTCCTTTCTCTTTAAATCGTGCACTGTTCTTGTTCAGTTTTCCCTGAGTAAAGTGTTGTCAGGACTTTTCTCTCTGGACTCTTATTTCCGTTATTTAGGTTACTGTGCTACCTAAAACAAGAGAAATAGGGAAAACCTCATCCCTAAAACACAAAAATGAAATGCCACAGAATGCAGGAAGCTCACAATATTCTCAGTCAAACAGCTGCAGAAAGCTCATACCAATAACAAACTTAGTTGGTCTCTAAGGTGCTACTGGAAGGAATTTTTTTATTTTGTTTCGACTATGGCAGACCAACACGGCTACCAACCTGTAACTAAATCTATTAATGTTACCATTAACAGAGCTGGCAGAACTGATCAATGTCTCTTTCAAAGGCCCTTACAGAAAGAAGCCAGGCAGTGGGAAGCCATTACAGAAAGTATGAAATAAGCCTTCCTTTGGAGATTACAGAGCTGACTACCAAGTAGGGATGGAGTTCACAGTCATGTACCTGTTAGGTTTTCTGTTCTTGTGGTCTCCTGGTGTGAACTTGGTTCATTTCAGTCCACAGCTTGTGAAAAGCATGTTCGTTCAGCCCACAAAAATGCAAAAATGATGCAACTGACATACGTTCTCCAGACTGTAAGTGCTCCTTGTGCAATGGATTTCGCTATTTGTAATTCTGCTACTGCAGAATCATTTCCTGCCTTCACGTTCCTATTTGCATACCCCGGGGGAGGGGGTATTATGATTTGTTTGCCTTGCAATGTCTTTGTTCTTGTTTTTGTGCAACACCAACAGAGCAATCGTCTGGTCCCTTTTGAATCACACCTGCAGATATTTTTGCTTCCTAATTTGGTCTCCACAAAAGAATTTGATGACGACTTACTCATGCGTCCTTTGAAGAATAAGAAGCCCAAAGCAGGGGTGGGATAACATGGTTTTGTTTTGTTTTTGTTTACTGCCTGGCTTACTCATTCATCAATCCTCAGTTGTGCAGTTGGTCCTAAGGGGGGGGGGATGTCCCGGGGGGAGGGGTTACACTGAGGACTGTCACATAATACCTGTGGTTTGCATCTTGTTTCATGTATGTGGTTTACTTTAATCATTGTAGTGATCTATTTTTTCTTCAATCTACTTCCCAACCCCCAACCCCGTCTGGTCTTGATAGTTTTTTCCTCAGGCCACAGTCTTGGGCAACACTGACTTTCTAGACAAGTGATCCTCTAAATTGATAGACTTTCCTCAAGTCCCATCCCTTCTCTCACACCCTCCATTCCTCTGGTACCATTAAACATTATTACATCACAGAGAGAGAGTCATGGTAGGAGACAGCGTTAGAAACATAACAATTAACGTTAACGGATACTGTCATCGCCTCAATTAAATGTCATTATAATTGCACAACCTGTTTTGATGTCAGGTCTCTAGTGCTGCTGGAATGTGCATTCCCTTGAACTCTGCCAAGTGCCATCCCTTTGAAGCAACAAAACACTTGCTGGGGTCTTAAGCAAATCATATGGTGCTTCATCAAGGCTGCAGCACGACAGATGAGTATCATCTAATGCTTGGTGGCTTTTTTTTATTAGCCTGCTTGAAATGGGATGTGTTTGTCGTCTGTTTATTTATTTTAAAAAATATTTACAACAATACAGAAACATAAAACCAAACAATAAAATAATAAAAAGTTAAAAATACCGTATTTTTTGCTCTATAAGACTCACTTTTTCCCTCCTAAAAAGTAAGGGGAAATGTGTGTGCGTCTTATGAAGCGAATGCAGGCTGCACAGCTATCCCAGAAGCCAGAACAGCAAGAGGGATTGCTGCTTTCACTGCGCAGCGATCCCACTTGCTGTTCTGGCTTCTGAGATTCAGAATATTTTTTTTCTTGTTTTCCTCCTCCAAAAACTAGGTGCGTCTTGTGGTCTGGTGGGTCTTATAGAGCGAAAAATGCGGTAAATTAAAAGCAAAATAAGAAATTAAAAACAACCATCAACAGACTATTGTGGGGGTGCACTCTATAGATCTGGTGGAACCTAAGTTTTCAGCAAGTGTTTAGCACAGAAGGCGCCCTCTGAATCTCTATTGGCAGGCTGCTCCGCAGGACTGGGCCCATGACCCTAAAGACTTGGTTTCTTCTTGTTGTCAAACGAACCTCACCAACTCGGGGAATGACTGAAGACACTCCTGCAGATTATATCAGTGATCCACCTGGAATATAAAGGTTCAGGCAATCCCTGAGGTATCCTGGACTTCGTAAATCAATACAGGACCATTGAATCAGTAGCAGATGGGCAGCTTTGAACCAGTAGCTGGTAAGACTGCTTCATCAATGCTGCCCCTTGTTCTTGACCAGAAGATCCCATCAGCAATCTGGCTGCAGCATTCTACACTAGCTGGAACTTCTGAACCAGACCCAAAGGCAGCCCCACATAGACACATGGCAGTAATCTAGCAGTTGTTCACAACCCATAGCATAAAAAGTATCGCAATATGATATGGGATGTTGGGGAAGGGACGACGACACCTTGTGCTCCTTCTGGGGTAGTTTGTCCACAATTAGTCCCCACCCTGCACTTGCTTCCAGAACTAAGCCACTTTCCCACATGTCCACCACATATGTTGATCAGAGCACAATGGTTCAGAGTCTTAATATGGGCTAACAATGCAGATGTCAGATACCCCTTTCCCCCAATATTTAAAGTGCTACCTCCCTTGCTGAGGTTGAGGCAGATTTAAAAGGAAATTCCCCCCTCCACTGAAGTCCAGACATCTTCATTGATAGGAATCTGCCAGTCACCTTCCCACATCTGTCTCAGACCGTCAGCTGTACCCATATCTGTTAAGACTGGCATGCTATGCCGTCTAGACACTGTGTCTAGTACATATTTCTGAGGAGTGTGTTAAATGCAAGAACAAGAGGCATCCCTCCCGCTCATTCCACAACCACATACGGATATGCTTTGTGTTCCAGACCCAGGCTCCAGATGATCTGGATACAACCATTTTGCATCTTAAATTCAAGACCCTTTCAGGAATGTCAAAGGACATCTACAATACCTCATGGAAAATCATGCTTGCTTGGCTTCTGAAAAAAAGAATTCCTTCTGTGTGTGGGTAGGCAAAAACAAATCATAAATATGCAAAGCTTTTCAAATAAAAAGCTTCATTTTCCCAACTCTGAATAATGTTATGGCCTGATTCTGCACTTAGCTCAAGTTGCCGGTACCTAAATCCCTGTTCCGTGCAAAGCTGGTGGCTGCTCTTCTTGACTTCTTTGGATTCCCCCAAAATCTCAAACTTCCGTGCAATTTGGGGTGAGCCCTTGAAGCTGAGCAGAAAAGCCAGGAGTGGAGCCAGCAGCAGTCAGGATGAATATTTCCAAGGCAGTGTGTGTGATTTCACATTATATAAAAAACATTATATAAAGTTCTCATTAGTGTTAGTTACATTCACAGTTTTTCCCACCTTAATCATTCTAGCTGAAGGGCCAGCTGGTTCAGCCTCTTGCCTTGTTTTCATAGCAAGGCTTGGATCAAAGGGGTTGCCTACTATTGGGGTGTTTGGGCCCAAATGGACTGTGGTCAGCTCACCCTGAAAGTGGAGCGCAGAAAAACAGTTTGGGACTCTGCACCCCTTTCTTCTTAGAAACTTTTCCCCCCTTGCCGAGGTTTCAAGTCAGCTGCTCATTCCCTTTCCAGTTCACCTGGAGGGAAATGGGAGTCAGCTTCTTTGTGGGCTTTTGTGTACGCCAGCTTCTCCTGGCTAGGATTAGTTGCCCAGTTGCTGACTTGCCAGTGAAATTTGCATCTCCCTGGCATGACATCTCTCCAGAACTC